GTATTAGACAGAAATTTGGTTTTCAAAAATCACTGTTCTAAGGGTTATCATTTTTCATGTGTTTTCCCTCATTCACTTTGAGATCTGGCCTATCGTTTACAGTAATCTTTCCTGCTCCTTCACGAAATACTCAATTTTAAAATACATCATCAAGAAAAAGGTTCATTTTCGACCATTTCATTTTCCCCCATCGCAAAACCATAATTACAAGGTTTGGTTTCTCAATACATGCCACCTTTAAAGGTGGGGGGACATGAAAAAATAATGTTCTCGAAATTGCGTTTAAATATGCCCCTCGATTAGTTGAACTTGTTGGGGCGATGATTGAGGGTGCGGCGCCGCTACCGACTGAGCTACACGGGCAAAAAAAAGCGGTCGCCCGATTGCATACATAAAGGCGAGGACGACAGCTGTACGCAGAGTGACATTAAGCGTTGTACACCGTCACGGTAGAATGCATACTCTGGCCCCAAAAATCCCCCGTAAAATCTCCTGTCCCCCCACCTTTAATAACTACTTTACTTTAACTTGAACAAAAAACAGTAATTATTATGACTTTCCATTTCATGAGTTTTTTTTATAACGGTATACCATAAAACCTGTAATAGAAGAACCCCAAACTGTCACTTTGAGCTCAATTTTCTCGTTTCCTACAAGAGATATCAAAAAGTGGTGAACTGATGAAATATAGGTGATACTATGATGAACATTTTGTCAGTTGACAGGAACCGAGATATATGGGCTCAAAGTGTAGCTCAGCAGGTAGCGGCGCCACACCTCTAGCATTGGGCCCACAAGTCCAATTCTTCGAGGGGTTATATGTTTTTTTCCTGATTTTCAACTCCTTCCAACTTCCTCAATGTCCCAATTGCTCATCCCTTGAATTGTTGCTCATTGCTCATTGTTTCCATACATATTACTGACATAATAATACACCGTGTCCCCCCCCCCCCCCTTTTATCCGCCCGTTTATGTCCGCTTTTCGGAGGTAAAAATGGGGGAAAATGTAACCCGAGATTATTTTCTCTCTGTACATAGATTTCGGATACATTTTCAATTCGTCTTCTTGCTTTCAAAACGATCATCTCTCGCTAATTCGGGAATCATCATTGCGAGGTGGAAATGATTTGTTTGCATAGTGTCGAATCATTTTTGGGGTTTTCAGAAGCTATGAAGAATGGAAAATGGCATTGAATATACTGAAATAAGTTTTTTCTTCACAGTTTTTCGAAACAATGAAGTTTAAAAGTGTACAAAGGCAGACAATGTTCAGAACGAATGTAAACATTGGGAATACAGGAAAACAATCCTCGAGAAATTGTGCGTTGAATAGATATAAAGAATCTGAAACATAACAATTGTTTGTGATTTGAATTTTTTCGACTTTGAAAATACTGAGAAATAAATATATTGTCTATTCAAAACGAATTTTCGCTAAAAATGTGCCTAAAATTTCACTATTTCTGAAATTGGAAAAACCGATTGAATGAAATTTGACTTTATTGAACAAAATGCAGTGTTAAATTAAACAATTTAAGAAGAACAGTTCTGTTTTACTAATAACGGAAAGTCCAGATTTAAAGTTTTTTTCGATGAAGGAATTGTGCATATTTTACCATTTTCATAGTAATATTTCAATTCTGTTTTCAGATTCAACTGAGGAAAAAATGCCGAAAATGTCATTCTTGCAATCTATTAAATAAACAGTCTGAAACAGGAAAAAATCTCATCACTCACTTTTTTCAAATTATTCTGAT